CCATCGTTCACGGGGTGTTGATCCGTTAGCACAGGACAACGGAGTGGTTCAAGTCGAACTTGAGGAGGCGCAGGAGGAGAAGCAGCGAGAAACGCAGCTTGTTCCGCCTGTCTCACAGTCACCGAGCATGGTGAGTTCGCTGGACTCGGTACCTGCGATGCAGAAGGCGCCGGTGGCTATGGACGTTGAGGCAGAAGGCGTGGATATACGGGTAGCTGTTTCAGCCAAAGCTGACGAGCCGCAACCGATGCGACAGTTAGGTGAAAGCGGGGTTGATGCGATGTCATCGCATCAAGCTGCTGAAAGACCGACTAAACCGTACAACATAGGTCGTGGAAAGGACAGGTACCGTGTGTTCCCCTATGGGAAACGCATACCGTCACCAAGAGCGGGTGCTAAAGTTTGTCGTCGTAGGGAAAACCAGCAGGCGAGAGCATCGGAGGCCGGGGGTAACGAGATCGCGGGCATAGCCTCAAAACGCTGACCAAAGTCAGCTTGAGATAACGCATCTGCAACGACAGATTGTAACGGGGAAAGGTGTGAACCGCGATCCGGTAGCGGCAATTTTAGTAGAGTTAGCATGTTTGCCGCCAGAGCAACGGGAAGAAGTGACCATTATCCAACGCCAGGTATGTGAGCTCGCTGCCAGGGCGATTGGCAAGGGCGCAGCTCGAGATAAAGCATAAGAAGGCTGAGGTACCAAATCTGTTCACTTTAAAAGGATTTTATTTTATTTTATTATATTTTATTTTATTTTAGTTTACTTTCTCTTTCGTTTTATGTATGTTATGTTTATTTATGTTTATTTATTTTTATTTATTTTGGTAATATTGGTGAGCTGAGTTATTGATGTTTATTTTATGATTTTGATTTTGTACTATAGTTTCAAGTTGTTTTTTCGCTGATCCTGTGTTCGAGCGAGGAGGGTTGCGATGAATAACCCACGGATGCCTGCGGCTTCCGCGGCTTAGCGGGGGCTGTGACAGGGCTATAGTGATGTTTGCTGGCCCTGTGTGTGGCACTCTCCTCGCATGAACACAGCGACCAAGTATACGCTATATACCGACTACATACTTGTGTCGTTGCAGGATCTGGAGAGAGAAGCGCGACGATCGGCGAGGTGTCACCGTGAGTGCGAGTGAGAGCGAGAAGAGCAAGAGAGAGAGAGAGAGAGAGAGAGAGAGAGCGATTTTGACGGCGAGAGAAGTGGGCGCGCGGTGATGCGAGGCTTAGAAATTAAGAGAGAAGAAGGGTAGTTAGGCGCGAGCTCAGTAAATCGAGCGAGTAAATTTTGTAACGAACATTTGTGAAAAGGGTCTCAATAAATGAGATCGCCATATGTAATATAAGTTAATTAAAGTGTCCGATTATTTGAATCATCCTCCTCAACCAGAGCGAACGTCGGCCTGTGAAAGTCAGCTCCGGCTTTCTTTACCGAGAATGAACCCAGTAAAAATTAGCAGAGACTAGCCCAAGTCGCGCGGTGGCTGACTCCTCTTTCTTTGACGATGAATAATTATACCACTTTAGAAGACGAAATCTTAATGAAACTAAAAATATACAAACAACTTTTTTATAGCTTATCAACTCATAAGTTGTTGAACTGGCAACGTACAAGCAATATGAACTTCAAAGAACAACCGCGTAAGGACGATCTCTTGGCTGTAAGGGTGATCAACTGCGGCTGCCCATGGAAAAATGTGTTACTTGCGTTTATCTCGATTTCAATAAGAGTATATAGACAAATTGAAGGGAAAAATTCAAAGCTATTCTTCAGAGTGTATACTTTTTTATAATTTAGCAAAAATTGGATATATACTTTTTTTATTCATAAAAAAGTAAAACCTCAAAAATTGCGAACCGTGTAACTTTGATGAACAAAACTATGTCACAAACTTTTGAAAATCTAAATTTGTTTAAAACATAACTCTATTTATTGACATTTCAAATATCTGTACCAAATTTGAGGTCTTAATATTAAAAAGAAAAAATATGAAAGTGATTCATGTCAGGGTCTCTCTCTGCTTTCTCGTCCTGCAGCCTACATACCTAAAAGCAGCTTATCAACTGTCTCTGCCGAATCAGGCGACGTTCAACATCCAACCTAGAAGTTGAGCTTCTCATGAGATCTTATAGCCTCCAAGAGACAAACTCTCGGAGCTGGTGATTTCGCGGCCATGAAGACGCCTTTGCGCTCATACTCGTTATTTCGAACTTCAAGACAAGAAGAGAGACAGAGATACTAGGAAATCGACCGATCTTCTCCTAACTAACGAGGTTTGGCCACCATTTCTACTGCTTTTTATCTCTAATTTACAATATTATGTTACTTAATCTAATTCGTAAACGTTTAACGTTGGGGAAAAGAAGACGCAAGATATTGAGAGCAGCAACACCTTTTTGTCTTTTTATCTTTTTCAGAACAAAGAAACGTCATGTCTAAATCAGAAATTTGAAAAAAACTCAAATCGTTGTGTCTTCGGAAACAAAGACTGTTTTACACATGGGCCCTTACCAGCCGAACCAAGCCTCACTTTGGTCTAAAGCTGTTCTGTATATGGGCCTTCGTTGGCCGAAACAGGCCTCACCTTGAACAATCCGGTTAAACGGCATTTCGCGGCGGACGCCATTTTAATAACATTTTCGCTTACAACATTTAAGTACGAACCGATTCGTATTATTTTCAATATAACAATATTTGCAGCCCATAATAAATTTCATTTGTTCAAAGTATCGCTTAATTTTAATGAAGCGTTAAATATTTTTAATGAAAATCAATATAATTTTTTTGCTTCTTATGGAGAAATACATGGGGAAACGTATCTTAATGTATTCTTAACTAAAAATTGCATATAACGCTTTTTTAAACAATCGCGATATTCTGAACAAAGGAAGCTCAATTTGTGTTGTATAAATTAAAATATTGAAATTTTTTTTAATTCCTCTATGTTTATTTACAATTCTAACAAAGTAGACTATAAGTAAATGAGCTTGCTATTACGAAAATTAACACATATTGAATCGTAATATCCAGTGAATGTTATTCTTTTTTTTTAACTTGCAGATATAATTTATGACTTTCTATTTATGTGTTAAAATATTTATATAAATTTTGGTTTTATTGAATATCAATCATACTATGTTTCTTTACTCTACTAGTGGTGATCCTTATCTTGAGAAGCTCGCCAACAGGCACGTTTGGGTGATTTTGCTGTCTGGTGTTATATTTTTTGTAAAACGTTTTTATTTTTTTTTTTTATTTATGGTATCTGTAGGTCGTTGCAGATAATATCATTTGCTACGAACCATGGGGCCTTCACGATATTTCTTAGTACTATAGATTAAAATCTTTCACTGTAACATCAGTGATGTAAAATTATTTTTCAACTTTCAATCCATATAGGAAGCATAATATAAACATTGATCTGAACTAATATGCAGTACTTTACAATATAACAAATTTGCTCATTTTTAAATCTTATATTATAGAAAAGTAAATAAACCTTTGCTTAATAAACAGGATTTCATTGAGAAAGTTCTATTAATCGTAATAGATTGTTCGAAATAAAATGAATCTATCAAAAGCGCTTCTGTCGACGTACGTTTCAAGTTTGAAATGAGACTAGACTTTTCTTGACAATACTGCCACCGATTGATTGATTTTATATGATCAATTATACAGCATACTCTAATTAGTGGTAACATCACCAAATTAATTTGATATATAGTTTCTTCTTCAAAAAAAATTTATTCGATAAAACTGAAAGTAATCTAATGTATAAAGAAAATTGCCATACAAAGTATATGTGTATTTATTTCTCTCTCTTTCTCTCTCTACCGACATCTGTAATATAGTCACATTACAGATATACTTACGCTATGCTTGCTGAGTCTTTAAAATAGGTATACTCACGTTACCCTTGGTGCTCGAAACTATTTACTGAATTATTCCTGAAAATTAAGTTTGAATAATTTGCAAATTAACTTAATAATAATAATAATAATAATAATAATCTTAGTTTGAATTTAATTAATTTTTCAATTATCGAAAAATTGTAGATATTGAAACTGAAATGAGATGCTCGCGATTGGAAGAGTTAAGTCTTAAATTTAAATCATCATTTATATCACAGTAAAAATCAAGAAAATATAGTCTGGGGGGTCGGTGGAGCGCGTATCGACTGTAAAGATATAATCTAAAACTGCAAATGATATAATTTTGGAAAAAAAGATTTCTCAAAAATAACTAGGATAACACGTCGTTCGACAAAGATTCAACTAAGTATAGCCTCTTTATACGGAGAGAGAACCAAAATATCTCATTTACGAAAAAAAATGATTCCATGTCACGCTAAGCCGAAGCGTTAGAGAGAGTCAGAGTGAGAACCAGAAAGAGAGAGCACCCGTTTCCTAGCATCGCTCATCACCAAGCCACACTTTGCCAGAGCTAGAAAGAGCACGTGCTCCCCTCCTCCGCACGCTTGGGCCATACCAAATGTGTAGTTAATATACAGAATAAGGACTCTCTAAAATACATGTGGCAATGGCTCCAGTGGTACAGCACTAGCCTGTAGATCTAGAGTACACGGGTTCGGTTCTCCGATGTCTCTTCATTGTTTTAAATTAGCCCAATGCCTTTCTCTCCATTTTAAATTTTTTAAAAATAATTAGTAATTTTTAATAATTGACCCAATAACCCAATAACTATTTAAATAACATTTTAATATACATTTAAATAAATTATGTACACTACCAAAACGAGAATGAAAGCACTAGGGACTTTCACAACGCCGAAAAGCGTGACCGCTCGGGTTATATACTATACCCTTACTATGCAACCTCTAAATAAGAAATTTTGTTTAAAAAGAAATAATCAATATACATTAATTTTTTCATGAAGGTCCGAAATATACGTAACGAATAGAATAAAAATTTTAACTTTGTTGAATATAAATTTCAAATAAGAATCTTGATTCTATAAAAAAATGTAAATATTACAGGTATTCGATTGCAGATATGTAACAACAACTAGTGGAATGTTCGAGGCATTGTGTAATCATATAAAATATAGTACTAACAAAGGAAATATTCGGTAAGATATCATTAATTATGAATTCACATAAAATATACTTTAAAAGAATGCAGGTAACTCGTATTAGTAGTCGAATTTCAATTCTTTAAATAAATAATTATCCAAGCCAAGCCTACCTTATACGTAGATATAATTTCATGTAAATTTGCTTTCAGGAGAATAATAAAACAATTTTATATTAATATTAATTCATTTCATAATTTTAACTGATTCTTATTTATATACTCTTTATTAAAAATCAGATACCATAACATGAAAATATTTATTGAAAATATAAAAACTCAATTTTCGATCACAGGTGTTTATAAAAATGTAACGAATTTTATTATTATTATTATATCCTACAATCGTTGCACCTGCAATAGCAAAACGTATTTCCACGTACCATAACAGAACTAGTTTGACCATCATATCAAGGGTAGCGGTCGAGGGCCATACACGAGTAGGCACGAAGTGGCTACGAGACTACTGGCGGGCCGTAAAACTCTATATAGTTAAATGGGGAGAAGTCAGAGTTGTCGAACAGATATACTTATTTTTTATGTTTCCACGTATCAATTTCCTCATGTGGTATATGGTTTTAAAAAGTCTAGATTCTCTTCTATTATCCGAAAAAAAGATTTACTTCGATAGTTTTTGATTTGAGAAAGTTATTTGAGTTTGAAGTCTTGAGTAATGTTGCTTTTTCGTCATTTTAAGATCTTTTAACGCTTGGTTTTATTTTTATACGTCTTTACGTCTTTTACATATTTTACGTCTACTACTCACCTACAAAAATAATGAAGATGTGATCATCAAATCAAAATATTATACTTGAGATTATATATAGCGATAGTGAAATGACACAACACAACCAACAATTATAGTTGACCCCCCGCCCCTACACCTTTCAAGAAAGGTAAAATTCTGTAGGCGAGTAGGCATGATAATCATACAATTTTTTTATTATACTCCAACTTGTTCTTCAATAGTTTTGCATGCTATCTTGGTTTCTCTGAACAATTTTTTTTCAACCTTTTATATTGAATATAATGCTGTAATCATAAGAACAATCAAATTCATAGCTACTTGTTAATGTTTTTTACCAAAAATAAATATCATACTTGAATAACAATATTTAATATTATTACAATTATTATTATATATTTATTATTATTATTATTATTACAGCTACAACGTCAAACAGGTATGCTGACAAAATATATATGTTAGTTTATACCTGGAATAAACTAGAGAAAGATGTGAATTCACTCATCTATATCGAACGAGTAGATTGATACTATTAATAAGTTATATACACTGTACATTAAAAGATAAACTATAAATGCCACAGATCAGGGTGGCCTCAGATCATGGGAGGCCTCAGATCAGTGATCTGAAGTGCATGATCTATGAGATTAGCACTCTTAGATCACGGGCTCCCCTTCTCCTCCTGATATCTACAGCACTTTTAAATCAGGCGCCGCCTCCTCTCCTCCTGAGATCAGCACTCTTAGATCAGGCGCTCCCGCCGCCGCCCTCTCCTCCTTCAGTGATCTGAAGCGTATGAGCTATCAGATCAGCACTGTTAGATCATGCGCAAGAGTCCCCCCCGCCCGCCCAATGTGAAATGCGTTTTAAGTATTAAAATAAATGTATTTGTTTAATTGAATTTAATTGATTTGACGCAATTGATTTACGTGTAATGCACAGATTTAGCTCAGTAAAAAAAATGAGCAGACACCACGGGGAATCGATCTCGGGTTCTATGGATCGATAGACCGTAGCCTCTAGCAAGTGAACCACGGCTACTTTGAGCTCTTGGTATCTTGTATTGCGTAGATTAGGTACACACAATCAAAAAGCGACTACACTACGGCACCCCCCCCCCCCCCTGACGCGACTTCATCGGTATATGTGCACGTGTTTTAAGATCACGCGTCATCATGTGTGTGTGTATATTTGAATGCATATATTTATATATATTGTTTTTGATATATGCATATATCCCGATTATTAATTCATGAAATAGTGGAGTAGAGGAGGGGGGTAATAGTAAATATACACATTGTGTTTTCTTAAATAAAATTATTTTATTGATAAACAATAAATCTTATTCTACAAGTCATTTACATTAAAAGAATATTTATAGAAATCCTTCAATAATTTCATGCAGCAACCATTTAAGTAAAACTTTTTCATAAATTTGATATTTTGATGTGCGCATGTCGTTACGTATTTACCGTTATGATTAAGACACACAGTAACTGATTTCGTATTTTCAAAAAGGAAATATCCCCAATCATTCAAGTCGAAAACTTTGAGGCCATATCGTTCTAACCACTCTTTTTTCAGATCTCCGGAAACAAAAAATGTTTGTATCATCTTTGAGCGTGTCTGTGATGATGAATTTATGCTCTTCGTAGTTGGAATCATCAGAGTTCCATTCTAATCCAAGGTAGTAGATTTCCATCCAAAGATTATAACGCTTACATTTTTCAGTTAGTCGTCGACGTGGAAACGGGGGTTTGAATAATCGTCGAGTGGTTTATCGTCGTAGTTAACCGGGAGTATCGCTAGCTCCTTTAAGGCATACATTTTGCCAGGCATCATGAAATCTTGCATATCCACTATGTACTCCATTCTGGCTGTTACTGAGCTACTTAAGGGGAGAGTCATCTCTTTAGTAAATCGATCTCCACTCCGTAAATAAGTTTCTTCACATCCCCACTTATTAGATTGTATTGAACGATGCGATCAAGTAAAATGAGACAATACGCTGAAGTTCCTTCAGGAATATTTTCCCTTGTTTCAAACTCCAAGCGTACATCCACTGCAGAGTTCTTCATGTCTCATTTTGTTTAGAGCAATCAATGACAATGAGGGGTACTTGTTTTAAGAAGGTAGATTTTTTTAGCATCGGTTCGGAGTCTTTACCGTAATATGCTTTCTGGAAATTGGCATACATGTCGTATAACATTGCAAACTGATGCTTATTTATGTCAATATTATGATTACCATACGGATAATACTGAGAGTTGAGGAAAAGTTTCACGTTACTAATGTTGCAATGATCGAATACGCTTGCATTAACTGTTGAAATATTTTTTTGTTTAGTTTGAAAAGCTAAGATGACATAACGTGGTTTTTCCAGTTGATTTGTAGTTTTGACTGTCCAGACATGACTTGTGTTCATAGGTAGCATTGGATACTCATATAATTCCCAACTACGAAAACTCATAGAAATGCTTCTTTATCTTTTCAGAAAATTAAGTAGACGAATTTTTTAAGTATTCGATGCGTGTTATATCGATCTTGAAGTTTTCGATGATTATTTCTAGTTCCATTAATTTTGTTGTTTGGATAACGACATTAAAATCACTGCTTGATCGTGTGAGAATTAGTTCATGTTTCATGTTTACCAATACTTTGTGATAATCTTCAAGAAATCCGAGAAGGAAATTTATAGGAATAGTGACATCGAAATATTTTTCTTCGTTGATTATTTTCTGATCATTTTCTGTTATCCATCCGGCATTTTCAGCAATCCAATTTTGACTTGGATTGAGTGATAGCCACTTTTTCATAATAGTTGTTAGACCAACGTTTTTATATTTATCGATTTCTATGGCATTTAGCTCATACCTAATTTTCTTAAACAAGTGATAGATGACGTTGTTCACAAATAGAGAATTCGTTAAGACTGCATTCTTATCATTGCACAATCTACCACAAATACGCGATGAGCTACGATATGGTAAAAGATATAAGTCTAGATGTTGGATTGATAAGCGAATTTCATCACTATTTTTGAAAGATGTATTGGTGTACGATTGATGAGTATGAATCTAATAATGAGCGAAGAATCCATCAAAGGTGACAGGTGACTGTATTTCTGGAACGTTCTCCATTATTTCGTTGAAACAGCAAAAAATAATTCAATTTACTTTCCACCAGAAATTACTTTTAAGCCGAGACTATTTAAGAACTTTATGCTTTGATGAGTCAATCCTTTTGCTTTTCGATGACGATTGACACTCGAAATTCGCCGTGTTGTCGCTTTTACTTTCAATCGACGACTGATGGTTGGTTTGTATATTTGACTGCTTATATAGCCACCACTACTGTTTATATTGTAAACGATTCCCATCACGTACTTTTCAGGTGTAATCTAATTGTTATCACTTAGATCATCTAACATACATCACTCTAATTGTTATCACTAGAAAGTTTATTAAATTTCCGTCTTGGTCAACGATGCGTGATTGTAAATAATCTATACACGTTGCGGTAACTAGGAGATAAATGACATTTGAAGGAACTTCAATAATTTTATATCCAGGTGGTACTGCAGGTAAAAATTCAAGAATATCGAGAACGTTACTCCCATTCATATATACACCTGAAGTAATGTTACACTCGACTGTCAGAGCATTTACTTTCAGAATTTTTACTAGAAGATCCGAATGGTGAGAGTTGTTTTCTTCTAGTTTACGCCGTGCAAATCCCAGTATTCGACCAATGGAATCTTGCGGACATCGATATCTTCTAAACTTTCAATTACACAACGAACAGTATTATTGTTCGGTTTCAGACTCACTGTTATTTCAGGCTCTAAGGTTTTACGAAGAAATTTATCAATATCTTTAATTTCATAACTACCCACCAGGTAAGATTATAGGTGGTTTATAACCAACGTAAAATTTATTGTTTTTTATATCTATATTGCGTACAGAGTTGGATGTCAAAAATTCTACTAAACCCAAAACGAATCTTATATTTGCTGATAGTTCAATTCATGGAAAGTGCTTTTAGTAGAGAAGAATTACTCGAGAGGGTAAAAGTGAATGATTCTTCGATGACTGTTTAAATACGACTGATAACTTTTTACGGTGTCTTTATTTATATAGTCCCACACAAAATCTGCAAACAAAGATGACCGCAATTACAGGTATCGAAATTTTGATATCTTTTTGGATTGTATTTGACCTCATCCACTTCGAGATATGTCATTAGATTAA